GGCAGGTGGGGGAGGGGATGGCTTCCAGGGGGTAGAAAAAGGATTATCAGAAAAAAACCCCAAACATATATATTCTCGTGATATTTCTTAGAAAAGATACATCTGCAATATATTCTTTGTAAATGCCTTTTCTTTAGCAGTTTCCAGAAACATTCTCTCTTTTTTTGTTTCTAAACCAACCAACTTATTTTTCCCAATTAACCTCTAGGTAGCTGAATTTCTCCATGATATCAAGAAATCAGTTCAGTTTGCAAAACCTCTTCAGATCCTCAGTTTGCTTGACTGAGCATAGTTCTGTTTGTTCTTGACTTAGAATATTTATGTATTAAGATCTCTGGTATAGATTCTTGCTTCATGTCTTTCTTTAGAAATAAGTGGTAGATTTTGTGGTCAGTCATTCTATAGGACTCTGATAATTTTCAGCGATTTCTTTTTCCAACGGTGTGTGTCTTTCTACTGGAAGAAGTTACAAACCATACTGTGTCCTGCGGTTGCTCTGGTTACTGCCTCAAAAATGGTTCAGAGACAAGTGAAAGCCTAAAAATACCTTTTTCTACAGACAAAATCCTCAGTCTTTACGACATGTAAAATTCTTCACTTTCTGCATGCTCTGCTCAGTTTCTAGCAGTGAGCCAGCAAGCAGATAGATAAGTCACAATCCTAAGGATCTGTATTCAGACTCACCAGGAGGGGTAGATGAGCTATGATATGTCAGGATCAAGTTGGTACAGTAAAGGCATTTGTGGAGGGCTATCTGAGAGAACAGAATGTATTGAGAGCAGTGATCTTCCATGACAGGCTTGCCTGTAGCAATAGTAAGAGGGAGGAAAAAAAGATTCATTTTCTCCCACACCTTTAGTACCTGCAACCACCCACTTCTTCCTATTGCTGGAAGCCTACCAAAGCACAGTTATTAAAATCACAGGCTGTGCTCTCAGAGTCGACCTGGAAGGCAAACGCCAGCCATCAGCTGAATAACTTCAGGGAATGGTGAAGAGAACACAGAGAGACTCTTGCTTTGAGCTAGTGCTGGCTGCATAGCGTGCGCTTTCCTCCCAGCGGCATCACACGCAAGGCAGTGAAGAGGACTAAATGACTCCAGATGAGAATTGATTAAATAAATGTGGGATGTATGTGTTTGGTCCTTCAATCTCATTTATCTTTTAATTCGTCTGTGGTGCTAGAGGGGAAAAAGTTTGAATTGACCTGACCTGGATAGAAACAGGAAATTTTTTGCTACTTATTCCTCTACAGGTCATTTATCTGTGTGTGTAAACCAATGTCTGGGACTGGTGCTTTTTTTTTTTTGTTTGTTTTGCTGGCATATCTGAAAAAGTAGAAGAGAACAAGAAACACCTTAGCATCAATACTAATTTTTAGTTTAAGTGAAAGAAATTCTTGGTGAAAGGCTGTTTCATAATTAAATGAAAGTTTTTGATAAAGCACTTACATCAGACATGAAGATGGAATGAAGTATCACAGAGGTGAATTTCTATAACATTTTAATGTCAGGAAATTTGTAGCTATAATACTAAGGAGAATGCCTAGTTTTGCCTTCCTCCCTGCCTTGGATGCTCCTGTGTAAAATATATTACCTTAAATCGAAGAAGTGTTCATTATCAGTAGCAATTATGTGTCTGTGCTGAACCACTTTCAATCCTTAGAGTGAGGCAGTGAATGTGAATTTAATTTTCTAAGTCCATTTAGGTGAATATTGATTCACTTAACTCAGACTGCTTGCCAAATATCTTTGGCAGGTTTTGCTAAGTAAGATAGCAATTCCTTTTTTAACATTCAATTTAGTTTATTAATGACACTAGCCTTGTTTTTTAATACCCATTTTAATATTTCTTTATGGTACAGTCCTGCATTAATGCATTTAGACTGCAACAGTATTTCTAGTTGCATTAATTTCTTATTTTTCTAGCTTGTCCTTAGATGTGCAGATGGAACATGTATTCCTTCAAGCAATCAGTCTGAAGGCTGGAAAGGCTGCTCAGGTGGTTGTGATGAATTAGATTGTAGTAGGGCAATTATCTCTTGTGTTCTCCTGTAAAGAGTTTGCTCTAGGAAGTTTTGATACTGGCTGAAATTATCTCGAAAATACCAGTGGCTATCTTTTAGATCACGTGAAAGTTGTGACTGAAGATCTAAAAGTCTGGAGAAGAGGTTGTGTAATGCATTACTTCTTTAAAGAGAGAGAGAGAACAGAAAAAAATTAGAAGGGATTTTTACATCAATCTTTACAAGTTAAGCTTCCAAAAACATATTAAACAATAAGTGGTTGAACTAAACTACTTGTAAACAGTTTAAAAAGTATTAGAAACCAGCACGGAGTTTTTTATTTTGTTTTAGTTCTCTGCTGTGAGAGGATAAATACAGAAGTTGTACTTTGACACTGCCTTGTATGACAAAATTATCAATAAGTAAAAGAAACGCAGTGAGAAAAAATACAGAAATCTATTTCCAGAGAATGATTGCCAATGGCTCGTTACCAAAATGGAAGGATATTTCTGTTGTCATTCTGCTAGTACCTGTTATGGGATGTCTCATAATTTTTGTTAGTGATCTAAATGATGGATTAGAGAAGATGCTTGTGAAACAGGAAAAGTGCCACACAATAGAAAGAGGGATGGATTTATAAATGATCCTGTCAAGCTGAAGAATGTGTATGGAGAAAATTATATCATATTCAATAAAGACAAGATCTGAACTTAGTTAATCAAATACACATGTGGGTTACCTAAGCTGCTTTTTTGCTGAGAAATAGCCGGGGGTGATAGAGGCTCAAAAGCTGACTTGAGAGGCACAAAGTCATGCAATTTTCCATGTGTGTTTTGTGTTTGCTTGGTGTTTTTGTTGTTTGTTTCTTTTTAAAGTGTCACACTGGATGTAAGACAGGAGTTTGAAAATATCTTCCCCGTCACCAGTGGGAAGGCTTCAGCTAGAGTACTGTATCCAAATTGGGTACTGCACAACAAAGAAGATAGGGAACAAAGAAGAGATGCCAGAGTGACCAGAAGGTAATTCAAGGTCAGAGAGTGCAGCACAAGTTAGATAGTGCAGTAAGTCTCTTTGTCACTGAAAGCTATCAAAACCAAGGTGGATTAATGTCTGGCAGAGGTGATACGGTAGCATCAAGGTGACATCGAGGGAGGGAGTGTAGCACATGGCTGCTAGCCAGCTATTTGGATTATAAAGCATTTACAGACCTTTCTTCTTCAGGTTGTGATCCAGAACAGTTGAACTGTGGTGATGGGAAGTGTAAGCATCAGTATAAGACTTGTAAAGATGATGACAGCTGTGGGGAGGCCAGTGATGAAAACAACTGCTGTAAGTATATATTTTTAGCTATTTTCCAAAAGATGGTGGAAGGCAGAAGCAGGAATATCCTTATTTTAATGGATAAATGCAGTATTTCTAAATATTCTTTCATAGCACAAAGTACAAGTTTTGTAATAGTGAAAACAAAACATGCAGACTACAACTAGTTCTTGGGAGCCTAGACAAGAGATTAATGAAGCAAAATCCAGGATAATTATTTTAGTTAGATGACCTAAGCACATAGAATCATAGAATCGTTTAGGTTGGAAAAGACCTTTAAGATCATCAAGCCCAACCGTTAACCTCACACTGCCATCCCACCACTAAACCATGTCCCTAAGTGATCCTGTTAGAAGAGTACTTTTTCTCCAACTGCTTCCAGATCAGTACCAAATAATGTAAGGGAGAGAGACACAATAGCTTTGGGACTTTTGCCTTTTGCTACCTGCACGGTCTCTTTAATATAGATACACCATGGTTACGGACACTGCTGGTGCTAGCAATGTCTCCCTAGTGACTTGCTGTGTTTTGCCTTTATAATTTTTACCTTGCTTTGAGTCTTAGGTCCTTGAGGTAGCCAGGAGTATGTCCTTGTTTGTGGAAAAAAAAATACCTACCGCTGTTTAGAGGTCACTGTAAAATACTGATAATAATAGTAATGGAAGCCTATTGCTGAGATCTGTCAGGATTTCCACATAGTAAACTGTGATAGTCCTGAATCAAAAATTTCTTGGAGGAGAGGTATAAAGCTCTTCCACAATTTTCTCAACTTTCACTTAAAAACAAAAAGGTTGACTTCCAGATGATATCTGCTGTGAAGATTTATAATTTGTAATGCCAGTAGCACTGGGGAAGGTAAAACAACAGAACTGACAAGCCTAGCTTGCTCAGTTTAGATTTAAGTAAAACAGGAGTGAGGACAGTTGGAAGGGTCTTCTGTCTTTCCTCATGGACAGTGGAGACTGAAATTACTGTGATCATTAATCAGAATGGAACATTCCTCCTGCCCCCTTTCCATAGATCGACCGGTTTACACCAGTACAGACTACAACTCCAAGTAGACTGGAATGTATAGCTTTGAACAACTTTCACCACTGAGTAGGTTGAATGTGCAAGTTTTTTTAATAATTTGAAACCATGGCTCCAAATATGTGACACTATCTTATCTCTCTTTTTTCAGCCTACAAAAGTTGCTCCCCTTATGCATACAAATGCCTCAATGGAAAATGCTTGCTGAAACCAAATCCTGAGTGTGATGGGAAAAGTGACTGTCCAGATGGATCTGATGAAATAAACTGTGGTGTGGTAACATTTATTTAAAAGTTAATTACTTGGGAAACTGGGTCAGGAATTTGTGCTATGGTCGAGCATTATTGAGTTAAGAAATGATTAAATCGGATGTGAATTAAAAAAAAAAATCTTCTGGTAACACCTGTATGAAAATGTCTGTCTTGAATTTTGCACCATTTCATTTTAAAGCCACTGATCTATTCTGTCTATGATGACTTATTTCAAGCAATGCACACTTCTAGGTTAAGGTGGTAGGTCTTAGTGCTTGTTTGAGCTGAATTACATGCAGTCAAGGAACATGTAAGGAAAGAAAAGATACGAGATTTTATTTGAGTGAACTTTTGGAAATAACCCAGTTTAGAATTATGCTTTTTGGGTTATTAACCTCTTTAGAAAGCTTTAAGGCAATGATTGGTTTATTCCTGACCTGACCATTGAGTGAAAATGGGCAAGTACCCTTACCTTTTTATCAATTGCACAGTAAGAAAATACTTCTTTTTTCCAACAGCTTTGACGTCTATGGATAAAAATGCGTTTATTAAGCAGGGCAAAGTGAAATGACCTTGTGTTTTTTGTTTCTATTTTATTTAACTATTTCTATTAGCTTGTGGAAGACACCAGCTTAAGAAAAACAGAATTGTTGGAGGTGAAGATGCAAGATCTGGGAAGTGGCCTTGGCAAGCAAGTTTACAGATGGGAGCATATGGCCATATATGTGGCGCATCTGTTATTTCCAACAGGTGGCTCATATCTGCTGCCCATTGCTTCCTGGATTCTGATTCTATGAGGTATGAAGAAGTTATACTGTCATAGAGTATCTGCAGCTTAATAAACTTACAGAGTTGCTTTCAAAAGTCTGCAGTAGCTATTCCTTCTCTAGATAAGTTGATTCAGGGTATAACTCTATGACATGATATCACTACATGAACCCTCAACATTGTATTCCGCTGGCTTTGAAAGTCCTAAGTGTCTGAAGTAATTATTTTGCCTCCATTGCCAGTGAATCCAGCATGATAAAACACACTGTTTTGTTATATCTAGGGTAAACACCTTTTTTTTTATTTATTTATTCTTTTTTTTTTTTTTTTTTTTTTTTTTTTTTTTTTTTTTTTTTTTTTTTTTTTAAGAAGGCAGGGATTTTCTGAGTAGAAGCTATGGCCTTTTCTCCCAGGGAAAGGACTATTTATATGGAGTGTAAAACTCACCAACATCAGTTTAGGTAGTGTAAATTGAAAAGATGTACCTCCTACGTGTGGCAAGGAGGAAATAGAGTTTAATAATACACTTTTTCTGACTTCCAAAGCATGGAACGGGTCTTCTAGTCCCAATAAATTATTATTTTCAACATGCTAAATAAACCCATTACTTAATGTTTTAGGAGGCAGAGACTATAGTGCATCTATCTTCCTAAGTGGTATTCTACTCCATTCACTTTGGTTTTGATGAATCTCATTAAATATCAAAAAGCAGAAAAAATGGAGTGAACTGACACTACATTACTTTCCAATGGGATGTTCTAAAAACATTCTCTTTACAGATACTCAGTTCCTTCGGGATGGAGCGCATATATGGGCTTATATACTATTAATGACAAGAGCAATCATGTAGCTGTGAGATCAATCAAAAGAATTATCGTCCACCCACAGTATGACCAATCTATCTCAGACTATGACATTGCCCTGTTGGAAATGGAGACGCCTGTATTCTTCAGTGAGCTGGTACAGCCCATTTGTTTACCCAGCACCTCTAGAGTATTTGTTTATGGAACTGTCTGCTATGTAACTGGCTGGGGAGCCATAAAAGAAAATAGTATGTTCATTTCCTGGATATACTTTTTGCAAGTTTGGCTTAATTTTAAACTCTAACAATGAAATATTTATAGTCATAAGAAAAAAATACCTGTGGTTTACATAGTAGGTCTATAAAAAGCTAGAAAATATCCCCTTAGCTACAGCCTGTGAATTCTGAATGTTTGCTTGGATGTTGAAAAATATGACTGAGGATATTTAGTTCACGATGACACCTTATACCAATACTATAGTACAGAATTAAGCTCCTAGCATCACTTGTGACTTTCAGGCTTGATTTCTTTAATTATTCCCTCCCTCCCTCCTCCCCCCATCAGCTTAATTCATCATGTCCTTCCCTAGAAGTGAGAGAATGGAAAAGAATGTAGGAATTTTGTTTACTAGGATCTGGATGATGTTTGGAGCACAAACAACCAACCTCTGGGCGTAACTTGAAATGTCATTCAAAATTAGTCACATTGTGTGGAATACTGTATTACACTCATAATTTGCGTGGCTTTTTTTTTTTTTTTTTTACTACTTTCTGGCAGAAGATGCTTATAAGGATAAAGACTAAAGAATGGGAAGGCAGTGCATAGGGACCTCTATGTCTAGAGGGTAGTGTAGACAACAGCTTTCAAAAGCTGAGGGCAGGCAGCAATTGAAGGGAGGGGAATTACTCTCCTGCTATCAGCTGGGTAGATTTTGAGTTTAGAGCAATTCTCTTTTGTTTTGACAAGTGATATCTCTGTTAGAAATCTGTATCACCATGACCTCTGCAACACCGTTTGTATTTTTTCTAGGTCATCTTGCCAAAACACTGCAGGAAGCTCGAGTGAGAATAATTAACCAAAGTGTTTGCAAGAAGCTGTATGATGATCTTATCACATCACGTATGCTGTGTGCTGGGAATCTTAATGGTGGCGTTGATGCATGCCAGGTAATCTGGAACCTGTAGAGGAACTACAGAGGAATATTTGCTTTCACTGAAAAACTGTTCAGGGTTGTGTGGGTTGTGTGTTGTTTTTAGTAGTAGAGTGAGATGTCTGGATGGTATGGTTAATTTAACTTAGCAATTAAGCGCTCTCTAAAATAAGGAAGGAAATTTGGCATAGATAATCTCTTGAGAAATGTTGTTTTGCAAAGATAAGGGTTAAAATGGGTCAAAAAGATTTCTTTTTTCCTCTTTGACAGTTAACGTTTCCTATAAAAGAACAGAGATATAAGGGTAAAGGGAATAAAGTTAGTGCCATTTGTGATTTTTGCTAATCGTGTTGATTTTTTTTCTTTTTTTGATGTCTGTGGGATTAATAAAATACTCTAACAGTATGATAAGTAATGTATTGTTACAGTTACAAAGATATACAAAAGGCAAAGTTAAGCTAAGTTTGGTAAATACAGTTGCAATTCTGCCTTTTAGTTTCATATGTTTGTTTGTGTGTATAACTTGAAAATTGCAAACACAATCGTTATACTAGTTACTGTGTAAAGGGGAGAGAAATTTGTACTGATTTTAGACTGTGGTAATTTGATAGAATTTTTCTGTGATTTATAAATTTTACTGCTTTAATGTAATAGGATAATTTTTGCAAGATCATATATCTTAATGGGTCAAAATTCTTTACACACAGTAGACTATTTGCAGGATCTTCCTGCAGTCTCTAAGTTTTAATTCAGTGAATTATTTTTCTTTATCTGTAGTTTGTATATAACTTTAGACCTTGGAATTGTTTTGCAAAACGTTGATTTAGAGGCTTGACATTCCTCCAGAAAATATGTTGCTTAAGAAATGCCCTTGAATTTTTAGATGGGCATTTTAACCAGTTCACCTACATACCTTATTGGTGAATCCAGTTTCTAGCATAATGTGCTATGTTTGAGTCCTAGCATGCTGGCCCCCTGGGCCTTTGAGTTCTTAGTCTGAGTAGCATCTTTGCTATTTCTTTCTTTTCAGTCACTGGTATATTTCCTCTGCAATACTAGAGAGGAATGATGTTGGCAGTTCAGGAAATCCCCAAAGCACCTTGTGAAACCCTTTTACTACAGTTCCAGACTTGTGGGCATCCTGATTTGTTTCATTTCTTCATGGACACGTAAGCTGTGCATGTATTGCACAGGTTATGTGAAGCTCCCAAACATTTTTCATCTTTAGAGGATACTTACAGTGAGAAATAAAATATTTACTCTTTCAGGCTCTGTTTTCTTGTCACTCTAGGACGTTCTTTGGTCTTGGTCACTCTCTTTAGGATCCTTCCTCTCCACCAGCATACAGCCCCTTTGGTCTTTCAGAACTGGCTGTGTAATTGGGCAGAGTATATAGCCTGCTTTCTCAAGCCACTGTGATATCAGCCTCTTGGCTTATCAAAATTACCAGTATGATAGCAGCTTGAGAGAGAGGAAGAACTGTTCTGGCTTCTTTTCTTATCTCTAGATAATTTTGTTTGGTTGGGTGACGAAGGCTTTCTACTGTTACTCTTTTCTCTGTACATGGGTTTCTTATGACCTCTTCCATGTTTTAGCTCCAACTGGGGGCAGCAAGCAAACCCCTGGAGGCTGCCAGCTGCCTTGTATGCATAAGGAATAGCTGCAGAGATGAGCTGTGTTGATAAATTCTCAGAGTTCTGTGAACTGTTCTTTTCAGAGAAGGCATGCAAGGTTAAAACAATGAAGGGCACAAATAATTTGTGAACCCAAATGCATTTATTTTGGTCTTGTGAACTGAATTGGAATTTTTACTTTTCTGCGTTGCTGTACTGTGTTGCACCTTCCCTTTGAGAAGCTAGTTCTTATTTGCACATTCCTTAGTCTTTGTTCTTCCTCTCCCTCTATGAATGCAGACACAGTCTTGATTATATAACTGCTGATAATACTTAATTGTGCCTTTTTTGGGTTTTGGTTGGGTTTGGTTTTTTTTGGGGGGGGTGGGGGGTGGAGGGGGGCAGAGTCTTTCTGTTCCTATTTAATAGAGAGTATAAGAGTTCTGCCTTCAGCCTGTGAACAATTTATGGTCAAATGGTAGCAGAATTCCCATTTCCCATCCCTGTCTTCTCCTCTCCCCACTCAGCCTGTAACAGATTCTTTTATGGACCCTGTAATAGGACATTAGCAATGAATAATTTTTTTAAACAACTTCTTGCCATTGCTTTATATTGATTAGTGTGCTACTTCCATAAGTTAAATTAAGTTGAATAAAATTGACATCTAGCTGGGTACATTCTATCCAGAAATAAGATTCTAATATTAAATTGTAATTTGAGAAAAAGAGGGGCAGGTATTTCCTGTCCTTAAATAACCTAACTTTTGTTACAGTGCTCTGCACAGTGTGTGTGTGTGCACACACACTAATGGCCAAACTCCCTTCATTTTAGGGAGACTCTGGAGGTCCCTTGGCCTGCACAGGAAAGGGAAATAGATGGTACCTCGCTGGCATTGTGAGCTGGGGTGAAGGATGTGCTCGGCGCAATCGTCCTGGTGTATACACTAAGGTGACAGCACTTTATGACTGGATTCGTCAGAATACAAACTGATGTGCCAAGGAGAAAATGCAGATCGTCTCCCTTATGAAAGCTCCTTCCTACAGCAGTCGGTCATGTCCATCTCTGATGATATAACTTGAAAATGCCCTTGACTGTTTCTTTGTGAAAGAATGTGCTTCCTTAATGAAGAAACTGTCATTTGCTGTTCACCTAGCAGTAACTGTTCAGATTGAGAGCAACTTCAGATTCCTTATGGATTCATCTTCCTTATCCCCAGCAGCAGAAACAGCACTGCCTCAAAAACAACATAAAATGGATTAGAACCTGTAACAAAAATCCAGCTAAATCTTTTGCAAATCTTCTCCCCTCCTTCTATCTCCCTATATCTATATTATGGTTCCACATACACACATCGTGACCACATCCCATATACACTCAACTCATAATATATTACCTTAGTGACATTACAGGATTCTAAACATAAAATATTATTTCATGTTTCTTGAAAATACAAATACTATAATCAGCACACTGTACAACGCTGAGATTAATTAATTCTTTAGTTATGCTGCCACTGCACAACTCTTCCTTTCTGGACTGTAACTTTTGGGCTGTCTCCTGTGTTTTCCTGAAAACACTAGATACATAACTCACAAATGTTGGGGTGCAAGAAATTTTCCTTAAAGAACTGGAAGACCATCATTTAAGTTCTTTGGGATGATGTTTAAGTAAGAGGAAAGAAATATGCTGTTTTAATTAATTAAACAAAACACAACTTCGGTGCTTTCTTACATTCTCTTTACAATTTGAACATAGTTGTAGGGTCTAATGTTTGCAATGTGTTACAAGTGTATTTCCCCAGCTGTGGCTCTTGCAGGCTTTATGAATTTTATTATGCTTCTGGTGGGTTCATGCTGCTTTTCCTGATGTCCTTGGTCTGCAGCAAGAAGCGTCTCAGGGCCAGAATTGTTGGTTTGTACCTCTTCCCGGGCTGTGCCCACATGGCCATATGACATTGAAAGGGACATAAAAGGAAATGAGATTTATGCAGTCGGATGCATCCTTGGACTCAAAGAAAGTAGAAGAGGAAATGACAGCCACATTCCTTTAACCCTTGCAGTAAATCTAGTTTTGATAATTATAATCTCCTGATGAGAGCTGATCAGCCCAAATCTAGCTGATTTAAGGTTTCCAAAGCTGTTTATGGGACTTAAGAATGCTGGTATTCAGTTCTGTCTAGATTGTCTTAAGACCATTTAGATGGTCTTTCTAGATGGTCTTAAAATTGTGCCCAGTATTTGAAAGTCTTTAGCTTCCACCTTTAATGTATAAAAATAAAAAAATAATGAACACGGCAATTTGAATACCTGTCATTGTTGTCCACACAGCACACTTTTATTCTACATAAATACATGTAGACACTACATAAATATGTGATCCTTGTTTAATTTTAGACCCACCTTGGCAGCATGTGGGGAAAATGCTGGAATTAGCTAGCACTGTAATCTGCATACAGTGAGCTTCCTGCGTCTAACACTGATACTGCTTCTCCTTCCTTTCCTGTGCTAGTGTTGGGCATTTCCCCCCCACGATGCTTGTGTCAAACTCACTACATAAGCTATACTCAAAGCCTATATTTTAGGGGGTTTGGTATGTTTAAAGGCTAGTCAGTCACTCCCATCTTCCCTTTTAATAAACGTGCTAAAAATGCAAGTGGCTACATTTTATTTGTTTGTGCCTCTGAAACTCTAATCCCCATGTGCAATCAGAAGTGTGTTTGTACCTTGGAGTTGCCTCTCTTTGTAAAGCCGAGCCTAACTTGCCCGTTTTACTAAAGCACACCTTTAAGGGCACAAGTTTCTTTTCCTTGCATTGAAACCAGGGTTGTCTTCACTACGGAAGAAAAGTTTTCCTGCTGTTCTGTTTTAGATAAAAGCCTAGGCCAGAAATTTCAGATCAGTTCTTGACTTCCCATTTTCTTTAAGAGTTTCTCAGATCCATGCATCAGAAGGGTCAGCTGTGTCACATGCAAGAAAGACACCAAGTATAGAAGTTGGATCACCCAGACGAAAGAAACTCAAGACTTCATAAGGAGCTCCTTCACAGATGTAAATAAAAGGACTTTGGCTTTTGCAGGGTGAGATCCATAATCATTAACTCGTTTGACTTAGAAACGCTGCTCTGGTTTCATGTAATTCAGTAGGAAGGTAAGGTCTTTTACAGTGAGTAGAAGTGAAACAAATGAAGCTCATTTCCAGCAGAAGTTTCAAGTGAAGATATCCCAGGTAAAATCTTGTGGATCCAGACACATGTTTTGACCTTTGTGACTGCTCAGCTTCATTCTCAGTCCTCTGGAATTTTAAGGATTCTCCAGAACTAAAAGGTGGGATATGCAATTTGTATTTCTTTTTATTCGCTAAATGAAATCAAGCTGTGTGCTCAGCCTGATGGAGTGCCTTTGCCTGGATGGCTGCGACATGACATCAGGGATCTGAACCCTTGGGAATGTTGCAGGCATCAGTAGCCAGATGAGTTGCACAATGGGAAAATCTGGGGTGGAGGAAAAACGTCCTCAGCATTTGGCAGGAAAAAGAAGGAGCAGTGCTGTGAGTGGATGTTCAGCCAGCAAGGGAGGGAGCTGGAGAAAGAGGCTTTGTTTTCCACTTAATGCGTGATCTTCTCTGTGCTGGGACGAGAGACTGAGCAAGAGTGCAGTTATCGGCTGCCTGCCCAACCCTTTTGATCCAGAGGGGAGAGAGGTGCTCTGTGGGGAGAAACACAAGGATGGAGTCGGAACAGAAGAAATGAGAGGAGGTAGGATGAAGCATACTGGGGGGGTGGGGGGAGGAATCAGCCCCTGGCTGCAGTAAGTTCTTATGAGCGACTCCAGGTAGCACGGGAGAGTTCATGTGGGAAGCTAGCACAGACCAGATCTCAACTCACACCGTGGTTTGCTTCATAAAAGCATGCCCTGTAGAACACAGGTTGAAATTGAAGGCCACCTTCCTCCTCTCTCCAGGTTCGTCCTTTTGGTTTTTTGCTTGGAAGCGGCTTCTCATGTTTAGGCTGAATAGTATGTGAATAGACATAAATGGACCTTTAGCACCAAATGTGATTCTAGACTACATAACAGCTAGAGAGAGGACAATTCATGGCACAGAGGTCAGTAACATTCATTTCTTTACCGACTAAACAGGGAGACTAAAATTAGGAGTGTCAATGGATATTACAAGTTCCCTTCACAGCCTGACTGAACCACAAGCTATGTCAGCCTTTACTTGGTTTACACTGTTCCGAACCACATCTGTTTTTTTATCTGTGCAGATAACAGCAATAGTATTTTACCGTTTCGGCTGAAAGCAGCAAGGAAAGCAATCCGGTTTCTTTCAAAATTGCCTCAGCAAATGACAACATTGCTGAAGGTTTAGTCACCTGCTTGTGTTTGTCAAGGGCTGGTACAGTAATGTAGACAAACTGGAAAACCTGGTATTGCACAGCTGAGGGCTGTAGTTCTGGCGACTAGGCAAATCGATACTTCCTCCTCCTCCCATTCCTCCGTAGCTACTGCAGATGACATTATTTTTCCTTTCAAGGAATTCCCCTTATTTATCAGTGTTTTGAGATCACTCCTGTGAAAACTGTCCCAGTGCTCACTGTTACCGTCTCCAGCCTCATACCAGCAGTGCTGCTGAAAACAGAAGGAAATGAGTTGCCTCCGTGCGTGCTTCAGAGACAGAGGTCCTCGCGCAGAGACAGAAGCTATGAAAAGGCAAAGCTCTGGTCAGGAGTGTGAGGCTATTGAATTGCAAGAAGATAACGTGGAGGAAAGCGAGGCTGGTCATGACAAGCCTCTAAATACTCAAACAAGAAAGGTAGGAATTTCACTTGCTCATTTGATGCTTGCTGTGGGGGAAAATACCACACAGCAAGAGAAATGACACTTTGCAGGCACATCTTGTAAGGGTGGTTTAATTTGTTGTTTGAGGGAGAGGGAAAGGTTATTCACTTGAAAGTAGAGACTGAAAACCTGTTAAACATATTTCTTTTCCTCTTCTCAATTAAGTATTCTAATATTTGGAGTGGGATTTTGAGCTTGTTTATTTTTTGGTGCTTGGCTGTTCATGAACTTTAACTTAGAAAATGAATGAGTTTTGCTTTCTCTTTGCATGTGCAAAAAGTGGGGTTGGCCTTAAAAGCAGAAAGCAGAAAAGTTGAAACCCATATTAAAAACAGAACAAATTTCAGAACAAATTAATCCAAAAACAGCGTTGCCAAAACAAGAATAGGATATCCTGCAAGAGACCAAGCTGGATTCTACCTCTCTGAGTAATTTGCAGTTGCTAACACTTATGAATTTGTATGACTAGAGTGCCCCAAAGCTGCAGTGAAGACCAGCACATGAGTCCTGAGGGAGGTAGCTCCCAGCATCTAGCTTGAAGCTATGGAACAGACTAACGCTGGCAGAGGAGCAATGTATAGTCACAGGTGGCTGTTGTACAGTGGTTTTCATTACTTACCCAAGAGCAGAGGGGCTATCTGTGGCAGAGCTAAGAGGTTTCCTGCTTTTCTGTAGGGATGGCTGAGCCCTCCCAAAAGCTCGCTGGTATTAGTCACGCCACCCCTCCCTTCCTGCTCCTGGCCGAGCAACAGCGACTGCTTCCTTGTGTGAGCCCCGCTGATCATCTCTGTGGGCTGGTTCATTCCACTGGCTAGGCAAAGAAACCCTCAAAACCCAAAAACATATTATCTACTGTATCGGGGGCCAGTTACTTCTCTGGTCTGGTAAGCTGAAACAGCTTGCTGCAGGGTCAGAGAAATTCTAGGGAGGAGCAAAGAGGAACAGGAGTGGGTGGAGGAGAGGCAGGGGTGTGAGCTAGATCCGCTTGGTTATCTTGAGAAACTTAAGGGTAAAGTTTCTGTCTAGACTTCCCCTTCCCAGAACTGGGTTTTCATCTGGGCTCTGTTTCTGCTGATTCTGACGCTTGGCTTCCTATCCTATAGGGACTGCTGGAAAATTATCATGCCCTGCTCCCTGCTCAGGTGGCAGGTTTATCAGAAGACCAGCCCTGCCTACCAGGGAGAGATTTTCTCTGCTGCTGCTCCCTCCCAGCAGTCTTGCGATGTTCTTGGGCAATGACCAGAGGGTGTGGGCCCAGCTGCTGGGGGATAGTTGGGGAGCTGAGTGTTTGCTTGAGATCAAGCCAGTTTGCTATGCGTGATTAAGAATTACACTTTTGTGATGGACTAAATATCTGGCTCAATTGAAACCCAAGCTTGGTAACTGTTTGTCTCTACTGATATTACTATGCCTGTCTTCATAGTTGTACTCTAGGCAGTAGTTACTGGCTTTTTTCTTTTTTTTTTTCAGAAACAAACCAGCATGCTAGTTTCCAGTATTAAATAGAAACATCATTATTCTAATACGTTTTAAAAATCAAATAAAAAAATAAACATGATTACACCTGAAAGCATGCTGTAAGCGAAACTACATTCAGCCTTTGCCCTTTGTTCTCCACCAAAGCAAATTTCTGTGTGCAGGGGTGTCTGCAGAGAGCACTTTCCCTTTCTCTGCCCCCGCTCCTGGAGAAATGGCTCTCCTAAGATCTTTCTGTGGGTGTCTGTTTTCTCCCCGTGTTCATCTGCCACCCCCAAAGAAGGTTTAAGCCAGCCGGTGGATGTCAGTTAAATTCAGTGAAAGGCTTTCTGTTATGCTGGGTTCTTAGAAAGTCCAAAAAGTAAAGGAAGGTAACCTGGGTTAGTGCCTCCAGCCAGTGGCTAGTTCCTGCCTACCTGCACGTGGGTGGTCCAGCCAACCTACAGCACGTGCTTTTCCTTGCATGGTACTGACATCAAAAAGGACGTGGAGTTTACAGCTGGGTTTACGGTGGATGGGGAGGAGGAGAAATTAAAAAGGCAGCATGGTCTACTTAAGAATTCATGCCCTTCCTTCAGTCTTCTGGCTGTGGAACAAAACAGTTGGAGGTTTTATTATTTGCTTTGCTATATCGCCTAAGCTTCTCCCTCCTCTCCCCTCCCCAGTATTAGTACTGCTGGGGTTGCTATAAAACACTAGCTTCTGCCATGGTTTTAAATCTTAATAAAAATTAAATGAAAGGCAGGTATTGTCCTTTCTCTCCTTTCTCTCCTATATGAATGTGCACATATGAGCAATTTCTTTGAAGAGAGCTTCCTTGTGATCTTCTAGAAAAGAGGTGAGATTTGTAATAAACTTTCTGTTAAATGTACTCAATAGACTTCAAGTTTCCAACCTGCTGAAGGAAAGGGGAGTCAGCTGTAAAATTCTCAATTATTTTAGTGTTCTTTAATGCAGTAGTGTCTAACGAATAGCAGTCCACTTGCTTTCGGTGCTGGCATCCAGGAGCTATGCAGACTGATATCATCAGTGTTGTAGAGGTGAATGATTTTGGAATTCTTCCACAGACACCTTTTTGGTTGGGAGAGATGGCAAATATTGAAAGGACAGCTTGTGGAACATGCAAATCAAACCTATGTATTTAAAAAAAAAAAAGGAAGCCACGAAAGCACCTTTGTAGCACCTTAGCTTTATGGGCAATTCAGGAATTGGAAATTCTGCACAAATGGGGAATAATAGGTCTCTTTCAAGTAATAGCCTGCCAGTGGGTGTCCTTTGCCTTCTGCAGGTCTACGTTCCCACCTGCAGCTGCACTTAGGGGTGGGAACCCCTCGTATAGGGCATTGCTTACCAGTGAGATTCTCCCATCTATGTGGTGTTTTTTTGATTCTAAATGTTACAGTAGATACATGCTTAAATATTTTTTCCTGCTTTTTTTTCATTAATCAACATGTCCCTTCCTTTTGTAACTAGGAGGGAGATCACTGGAAATCATGCGGGAATGTAGTTTTCTGGAAGTGTAAACTATGGATGGTTATAACTACAATTTTTGTAGTATTCTTCCTGGTCATTCTCATCAGCCTAATTCTTTATTCTAGTAAGTATCTCGTTCTCGGTCCATCCTCTAATAAAAATGTGCACTCTGATATAACACTAATTGAAAAGTAGCATCCTTTAAGCTTGTTCTGTAAACTGCTGAAAGGACTGGGATGCTGACTGCAGAGAGTGGTGTGTTGAGTAGTGAACACTTTTATTTTAGCAGGCAGCAAGCAATTTGTATCCTGATCAGATGGCAATTCCAGTTTGTAGCTAAGTGAGAAAATGTTACAAGAACAGAGTCAAGGATGAGGATGGAAATTATGCTTGTAACGTTGCAACAAGTGCAGTGGATCACTTATGTCCCCTTGTGTGGTGTCAGGGTCCGTCAGGCTCCCAACGCAGCTCACTTTCACTAACAGAGGATGGGTGATTGACCTCCATGTGCTTTCACTTTTCTTTGGGGGACTTGCACTTTCTTTCTGTCATTCCCAGTCAGTCATCACCTAGGAAATTTGTGAGAAAGCTACCCTGTAGAAAGCCAAGAGGTTTTTTTTTCAGTAATACTGCTAACTGGAACTTTTCCCTCCCCTTTCTGTCTGCTTTTGAATATCAGATGTTTACACAGATGAGGATGACTATTGGGACCCTGATGTGCTACTAAATAGTGGAAATTGTCGCAATTTCTCGGGAACCTTGGAGTTAATGTGTGGTCTCCCACACCTTTTCTCTGAAGACATTACTAAGAGGGTATGTGTTGATGTGTTTGTTGGCAAAGCTCATTCTACTTGTAACATAGATTCAGTGTTTTACCTTTTAAGAAGTTTCTGTTTCTCTGGGTAGTGACTCAATCCACAAAAAATTGTGCAAATCCACAAAAAATTCTGAGTTGTACTTTTGCTAGTATAATTTTAAGTCCCGATCTAGAAAAAAGAATTGTCTGCTTTTAAGTGAGCAAGTGGTTTACATTGATTTTTAAAAAAAAAAAATATTGCCTGGGTTAGTTTTTTTTCCCAAATTTGAGTAATGGCTGGGACATAGCCTTCACCTTTTTCATAGAATCATTGAATAATTTAGGTTAGCAGGGGTCTGTGAAGGTCATCTAAACCCAAGTGCTGGCTAAAACCCCTGTGTGTTGTATCCTCCTGTTAGTACATGATGACAACCTGGGTTTATAGCTGCCATTTCCTTTGAGCCATCGCAGCTCTGAGATACGGCTGACAGAAGCTCTGCAGGCATGGCAGTGCTGGTTGAGACGTGCTGTGGAAAGGGAGTCTCAGTAGAGAGACCCTTCCCTCTACCAAGTAAGAGTAGAAGGGCTTTTTGGTATTAATAAAAACCAAAGCCAAACAACATAAATTGCACGTGGCAACATGAGCACATATTTTTAGTTCACCCTGAATGCCTCTATTGCGTTAAGGTAGTACAGTAATCACTCAAACGCACAGATTGACTTGTCTGTCAAGCTTAGAGGGGTTGTGTACCTTTTCCAGGGCAGATATTTACTGATATTTGACCTTCATCACCTGTTTTTATGCTGCTGAAAACACCTTGTAGGAATGACTCGCTGTACTTTCTTTTATGGGGATAAGAGAGTGAATGGAAGAAATTTTTTTTTTTTTTTTTTTTTTTTTTCTTTTCAAGTTAACAGATGTCTACCGTTCATCTCCAGCTCTAGGACGCTACTTTAGGTCTGCTCAGGTGTTTTATTCCAGGTAAGCAATTTCTGTCACCAAAGTTATCTGAAATTCCAGGCTTTGACGAGACATACGTGTATTTATGTAGATATTCATGTCCTGGTTTTGGGTGGGATAGAGTTAATTTTCTTCCTAGTAGCCGGCATAGTGCTGTGTTTTTTAGATTTAGCGTGAGAATAATGCGATAACACACTGATGTTTTAGTTGTTGCTAAGAAGTGTTTAATACCAAGTCAGGGACTTTTCAGCTTCTCATACTCTGCCAGCGAGGAGATGCACAAGAAGCTTGGAGGTGGCACAACTGGCACAGCTGACCCCCACTGGCCAAAGGGCTATGCCAGACCACAGGACGTCATGCGCTGTATAGAAACTGGGGGCAGTTGGCTGGGGGAGCAGTGATTGCTGCTCGGGGACAGGCTGGGCATCGGTCAGCGGGTGGTGAGCAGCTGCATCACTTGTTTTTCCTGGGTTTTGTTCCTCTTTCTCCCTCTCTCTCTCTCTTTTGCTATTTTCTTTTTCATTACTATTATTATTGTAATTATTCAATTATTAAACTGTTCTTATCTGAACCCATGAGTTTTCTTACTTTTGCTCTTCCAATTCTCTTCCCCATCCCACCATGGGGAGGAGGGTGAGAGAGCGGCTGTGTGGTGCTTGGTTGCCAGCAGGGGTTGAACCACAACAATGTACAACATTTAAGAAAAATCAGTTGTTTGGGGGAAAGTTACATATACAGGTAGTGAAAACCTATCGAAGCATCCTCTGGTGTAAATGGCGAGTGCTGTTATTAATATATAATGACAGTAACGTTTTGTTGCTGTTAAGTATCATCTCTGTTGTCTTTGGTTCTGAGTGCAACCCTTAATAAACATATTCAAGGATATTTATTAAAAAGAAAATGATCTGCTGGAATCACTTGAGATTGACACATCTTAAATAGCCTTAACTAAATAAAACGGGCTTCATGGGGATGGGAGAAATGTTTTGTTTCCAAAAGAGCTAAGGGCAATAAAGACATACAAGTTGTGAAAGCCAAAACAGTAATACTGCACTGCTTGTTTCTTTGGACCACTGTTCCCCCTCGCTTTATTTTGGACAAGAGAAGCAAATCTCAAAGCAGCGGCGTGTTGGAGAGACTGGTGGACCAGGAGAGAGGGGCAGAGCAGGCAGCAGAGTGGAGGCTGGGCTAGCCTGGGTGGGAGCTGCCTATGCGTGAAGGAGAAGCTCAGCCACCCAAGGCTGGTGGAGCCAGAAGCGTAGCAGTGGTGGGAAGAAGGGGAAGAGCACCCAGGCCCGCCTTGCAGAGGCAAGAGAAAGCTTCAAGCTGGAACGGAGGGAGGACCTTACTCTCAGCAGAAACTGGCACTGGAGTTAACTGTGTCTGAGACTGTAAAGTTTTAATCTATGGAGATACCAAGGAGAAGCTCAGCCACCCAAGGCTGGTGGAGCCAGAAGCGTAGCAGTGGTGGGAAGAAGGGGAAGAGCACCCAGGCCCGCCTTGCAGAGGCAAGAGAAAGCTTCAAGCTGGAACGGAGGGAGGACCTTACTCTCAGCAGAAACTGGCACTGGAGTTAACTGTGTCTGAGACTGTAAAGTTTTAATCTATGGAGATACCACAGGTTTACAACAGGAGGGAGGCTGAGCAGCAGAGGGAAAAGCAGGGCTGGAAAGATCAGCTGCAGCGTGATCCTGCTGTGGAGAGGTAGCACGGAGGCAAGGGAAGGCGGTCAGAGAGCTTCCCCAAGGACTTCTGAAAAAGCAGTTACAAAAGGGACTAGAAAGAGAGCAGACAATCAAGGGAAGTAGATTTGCAAAGTCCCAAGGCTGTTGAGAGAGCAAGGACAGAGGCAGAGCCCCCTTGGGCTGTGGTGAGGGGCAGCCCCGAGGGCACTCTGGGGAATGTGCTCCCCTGCACTGTCAGCCTTGGGCATGCTGGCTCTGTTCAATGACTGAGCTGCAGCTGCTTAGCCTAACGGGTAAAAATAATGATTTAGACAATCAGGCACGAAGCTGTAGTTCTGAATACATGTTGACTAGCTGATCTCTCTCTCTCTCTGTGCCTCTTTGTGTGTGTGTGTATGTGTGTCTCTCCCTTTTTCTCCCTCTCTCTGTGTCTCCTTTTCTTTTCCCCCACCCAACTACTTTTTTATGTTTTATATTCTGTGAGTACAAAATGTAACTGTCAAATTGTAGTCTGCAGATTTGTTAGGCCACAAAAAATGAAATCTCCAGAGATGGGACTCCAGTTAGGTGGTTTGTGTAATCCACTCCTGAGCTGAGTTAGGAGCACAGCTGGGTGGCCCCAGGTACTGTTAGCAGGAGAGAAAAATCTTTCTGCAGGTTCTCAGCTAAACTATGCATGAGATATCGCAGCACCTCTTATCATTATGTACTTCTGAAGCATGAGTGCTGAAAACCTCACCCCATTAGGGCACATGTCCAATTGCCCTTTGTGCATTTGAAAACATGTCTCAGGTTGGCTTTCCAGGTGTGTGCCTGGTTTCTGTTAATGTCAAGAGCTGCTCTGAGAGGGGAAGGGGAAGGAGTAAACTGGAATCTTTGATGGCAGTTTTCTTTTATAATGCTTTGCTTTAGAACCATGGCAAAAAAGTCCATGGCAACATTGATATGAGAAGACTTCTCAAAAAAAGAAAATATCCAGTGGGGACTTGGAAGTATTCATACTTGACTTTCTTTTTCAGTAATGAAAACTCCACTGTATTTTATCAGCTAGAGTTTTCTGTACCACCATCAACAGAGGGGTTTATGGAAAGCACAATGAACCCAGATTTTATAAGAAACGTTTTACGTCAAAGTATTTATGATGAAGATGATACTTCTAATCCTGGGACATCTGAATGTAACAGGTTGAGGCTTGACCCAACTTCTCTCACATTAACATGTAAGTACTGTACATTAGAGAGATTGTTTCTTTACAAAGAGCAGAATTATTTACTTGAAAGGAGGGAAATCTTCCTGGAAAGATGTTGAGATTTGTTAGTAAATATATTTTGTACAACAGTATTAAGAAAATTGTAAAATAATTCAGTTTTTGAGGAAGCCTTGCTATGCTTAGTTTATAACCTAGGATTCACTGTTTGGTCCCCTGATGAGAAAGGGAATAGTGATGAGAGTGGTTAACTATGGACTCCAACCAAACTTTTCAGATCTCCTCTTGCAAATTAATTAAAAATGTTTCTCGTTACTCTTTATTCATATTTGAATGCTTATAAAACAAATTTTAATTAAAGTAAAACAGGATAAGTAATTTGGATGCGAACTTCTGCTTTTTTCACAGTCAAGGATGCAAAAGCCTCCCAATTTTTGTCTTTTCAGAGCTTTTTGGGAAAATTTATTATGCACAGAGATATCTTTTAAAGGAACCACATGTTCATTCTTCCAGCTTTTCTAGGTAGTGATTACAATGGCTACCAGTGACTAGGTAGTGACTCCAATGCACTGAGATTTGTCTTGATTGAAATGTCAGTGTAAAAGCCCTATGTGCTTTGCAGTTTTACTGAAAACAATATGTGGAGCTCCTTCTCCCCATCCTCAGCTTACTGAGCCACACCTAAATTCTTCAGAATAATTCTAGGCTAACACATCAGCATACAAGGTATGTAAGTATGATTTGCGATTAACTCTTATTGATTTTTTTTGGTACCCTTATCAAGGGACAAGAGAGCAACAAGTAATGAGTTCCAATTCTCAGTACAATTTTCTTCGTTATATATTGATAGGATTAATAGAAAATGCAATGTAAAAGGGACAGGAAAGCATATGCTGAAATGTCTAACTGAAGTTTCATTTTAATGTTAATAATGTACTGTTTTAACTTTCAGAGAAATGATGGAAAGACTCCTCATCTTCCTCACCACCTAGAAGGCATGGACTTCTCCTATCTATTAGTAATCCCAGGGTAGGGAGCTATTTGTTAGGTAGAAACACTTCTAAAGATGTCGTCCTGCAAATACTGTCTCTGATGTGATACTGTAAATGGAAAATGTGGTATATTTGTAACAGTGTTGTACTTCTATAACACCGCTACCTCCTCCTTTATTGTCCTGATCTCTCATAACCCATTTCACTCTTGTGAAAATGTTGTATCTGGTCTGATGCATGCTCTGTTGGCTTTGAAACTTCTGCTTTGTCTTGCCGTACAATTAAATCTGAATTCCCTGCACAAGCTTTTAAAGCAGGCTTGCACATGGCTCCATTCTTCTCTTGGCTTATCCAAAAATATCTGCACAGCTTCATCCTTAATGCTCGTTTCCACCCATGCTCATGTCTGTTACTTTTTTCCCTGCTAACTTCATATGCTGTGTTTCCCCGTTGTTCTTTCCTCATAAAACAGCCTGAAAGCTTAAATATCTTCTTTAATTGCATGCAAGACCTTTGCACTATCTTCTTAAGTGAGATTCAACTCTCACTGTTCCCTTGTTCATCCTACAGTGTTCCTGGATAAAGTGGTATCTGCTCTATTTTTCTCTTCTGTAGTGTGAAATAGAAATGAAGGAAGAAACACCAGGAAGAAACATGTCTTGTTCACTAATGCATCTGATTGCCACAGGAATCTTTCGAGGGTCAAATTAGCTGAGGGCTTTAATAATTAGCCACTGGTACTAGTGAATAGGCATCTATTTGACCCACATTTGTAAATTCGAAGAGAAACTAGTCTATATACTAAATTATGGTCCCTATCCCAGCAGTGGGGATAAAAATGAACAGATGCAAGATATTTGCCTTAATAAGGCAGCAAATAGTTGTTCTTGTTGACAAGAGATCAGGTGAGATGGACCAATGCTAAGAGGAAGGTGCTGAAGCAGACCATGTAGGCCAGTGTGGCTTGAGAATTATAGCCGGTAACTGGCTATAATATGAAAATTAAAAAACAAGCATTAACTTTACACAGAATGCAACGGATTCACTACCATGTTAGTGAAGTATAGCTTCTTGTCATTTGTTTATAGCCAGTATAAATGTTAGTACTGTTGGATAGAGAAACTTATTTTAAGAAACCTTTTGTATTGTGAGAAATACCTTATGGGAAATTGCGTTCCTATTTTTCTAATTTTACTAGTTTATTTAAAGAGTAATCTGAAAATTTTACTGTGCATTAAATTATTTATTTTTACTCTTAAAGTGATTGTTTTCATTCTTCAGCAGCTCCAGTCTTTCATCTGTTTGAGTTGGAAAATAACCATCGGAATTCTAAACGCTGAGAGCTGTCTGTCTGACAGAGCCGTACGCTCAGACCTGTAGTTGTTGTTGCCTGAGTTTTAGCTGAGCTTGGGCAACAGTCTGGACAAAATTAGTAGTTCACATGGCTCTCATATTTATGACCCCATCTTGATTTATAAGATGTAACGTTGTCCGTAAGAACCGTAATTCCTCTTGATGCAATAGTCTGTGCAGCATACAACTCGAAGAGGTATTCCTCCTGATTCTTACACTAGGGAAGGATAAAATTTATGGTTTGTCCCAAAAGCAGCAGGCTAGGAAAATACTGGCAGCAAAAAAATAATTTGCCTTTGAGATGCTTCTTGATCTTATTGCTCTAAGGTGACTGAACCTGCCCTTGAACACTTTATCTTGATTCTAAGACCTGCAAAATCATATCATGATTATGCTGCTTTATGGTGATACCCCTATGTGCATTAAGAGTCAAGCCAGCCATCCTCCTCTGCCCCCGTACCTTTATCACAGCAATTCACAGGCAAGAAGGCGGTGAAGTTGTAGCAAGGTGTTGTGACATTCAACAGAAAATGTCTGACTTTACAGTCTGCCTCCAGTCAAGCTTTGAACTACCATTGAAGGAAATGCCAAAAAATGACAAAAAGTGGTTTCTGGGTTTATATCTCTGAGGTAAATTGATCATGTAGAAGAGAATAGGCAAGTGAATTAATTATGACCTCATCCATTAGAGACAGAGCAGTGTGAAACTCATTATTTCATCAAGTTAGAGGTTTTGTGTAAATGCTTAATGTTAATTTTAGTAGGAGGAGTGTGGATAACACTTTAATGATGGGGCAACTGAGACACTGTTAAAAAGGAAGAGAGAAGATCTGGTGATTCAGCTTGCGGAGCATACAACCAGCCCTTGAAAATCCCATGGCAGGCAGTCCTCTGAGAGTGCCGCCTGCACCACGCTAGCAGCGTGTCTGCTCACTGCCGCCTGCAGCCGTTCACCCGTGGGACTGCCCCCGGCACCAAATCCGCAGGTGGGAATTGCAAAGGTGCTATCCCGTAAAGCCAGGGCTGCAGCCAGCAACCACGTACAAAGGAAGATTTAAAATCAGGAAAACCGTGTTCTGTATTTTCTTCCAAATTGTTTTACTACTAAAACGGAGGGAGGAAAAAAACACGCTTAAGCAAGAACAGAAGCACATAATCACTTTGTGAGCTCTGGTGAGCATCTGAATAGCCCATTTCAGTCCTTTGCGCACGTCCAGAAGTGCTGCTTGCAGAGGGGCGATGGGCTGTGGGGAGGTTGTGTTCTGGCCTGGCAGAGTGCCGAACGTGAAACTCCAGCAGGAGAGAACTGGAAGTGTTCTGTCACGGAGGCAACAGCTGGGAATCTTCTACTGAGAAGTACGCAGTTACGCCCTGTGTAACGTCAGGTTTCATCGTCTTCTAAGTGGCTGGAATTTTTCTTCTGCTTGGAATTTGTTGCTTTTTTTTATTTAATTCCAACTTCATTAAGACTTTGCCCTAAGATAAGTAGTATTACATTAAAAGGGAGGGGGGGAGCAATTTGAGAAATGAGTTATTTATTGAAATTGTACTTTGTATAATGGTTTATATCGAGCAGGCCAGAGAAACTTTGGAAAAGAGTAAGTGGACTTAACACAGGGTTTAGGCTTTCATTTAAAAAACAAAACACCACCACCACCACCACCCCCAATAAACAAAAAACCCAACAACAAGCGGTGTTGGTGTTGCATTTTTGAGATTTCTATCAGTAGTTCTGTAAGACCCCCTTTTAAAAAAAAGTACGGTGAAAGTCCAGAAAAATGTGCAGCCTCAGTTGCTTCTGGTAACGAAGCACCTAATTTTCTATAGAGGAACATTGCCTTACAATGGCAGTTGCTCCTGAGTCCTCTTGGTTTAATTGTCAAGTCCTGTACCCTGTCCATGCCTCTTTCTCTGATCACCTTTTCATGGACAGATTTGTCTCGCTGGCGGTGACTGGCAGATGTGTCCTAATGAGTAAGCTCGCTAACAGGAGAGAGATGTTTGTTTGAAGACCTGACAGCGGAGGTAGGATGGATAGCAAGGCTGCATGCTGCTGGCTTAAACATTCAAGTAAAAGAGGGCCTTGGGAGCGGGAAGCATCCCTTTCTAAGTTATCAGGACATAATCGTATTCACTGTGCTCTTCAGCTCTGGGAATGTTTCCCTTCTTGGGCACGTTGACAGTCGCGTATTCTGTCTGATTATCGAAGTTAAACACAGAGGCTTGGTGTTTTACGTTGTGGCTGACAGTGGAGTACCACAGTTCACTGGAATGCATAGAATCTTTTTTGTCAAGATCTTCCTAAGAGGGGGAGAGAAAGAGAGAGAGAAGCTTCAACATGATTAGAGCCTGAAGAACTTTGCAACGTGAACAAATCTGGTATAGCCTGTGTGCTCATGCAGTGGCATCGACCAATGTACGTAGCACAGAGAATGGTTTGTAAATCCACAGTCATTTCCCAACTGTATGGGTGGGACACCTGGAGCACCGACCACCGAACACCACACGCACGCCTGGTGGGGATGGAGGGTGAAGGCCTGACTCTTGTTCTGAGGTTGATAGCACTTCGTGGTAGGTTGCATAATAGAAAGCTCATCACTGCACACATGAGGAGGCACAGGGGCAGGCAGGGGAACCTGAATCCCCCGCCCCGGGTCCCCCCAGGGCTGTCCCAGGAGAGCCATCATCCTGATGGTCCCAGGGTGACATCTGCCCAATGAGGGAATGGGAGCAGCTCTCCAGATCACCTTACAGATGGGGGTGGGGGGGAATTACTAATGGTATGGGAGATATTATCGATGCATGTGAGGGGAGAGCATTTGGGGTTTACTCAAGATTAATTATGGGATGTTTGTGGGAGGAACTAAAGGGATGGATCAGGATGATTTGCAGAGCAAAAAGTAGGGGAATAAAGGGAGGGCCAGGGGAGTGGCGGCCAGCTGGCAGAGAGACCGTGGGGTGTAGGAGTTGACTGCTGAGACCCCAAGCATGTGTGTGTATCCGTGCAGGAGACGTTCTCCTGGAAGGGGCCCTGGCCTCACGGGTGATTCAGAGATGGTAAACCCCCTCCCTGGCGCTCCTTGTCTAATGGTTTCCTTGAACACAGAGGGAGAAAAGGAAGAGCCCTTGGTGAAGGAGGAGGTAAGACTGTGTGGGTAAATGCCTTCCAACTCTGTTTAGACTTGTTCCTCCTTTTGCCTCTTGAAGGTGTTTGCTAATGGGCTGTGGGTGATTGTGCATCTAAATAGCTGGCAGGATGACTCATTAAATCTAAAGGGATGATGTGAACTGATTAAGTACTCAGAGCCAGAAGTCAATTTTTTTTTTTATTTGCCCTGATGCTCTTGGTTTGGACCCCCTGGATAATAAAGCCAGTAAGTACGGGCCTTACACAGTCATCCTCTACTGTCTGCAGCAGTAGCCGTATTTTAAGTGGGTGTTGCTGAGTTCATGCTGACATTTGTGACCTTTTATAATCTGCAAGGGGAACAGAGGTCTCTGCTCCACAAGTTAATAAACACAAAGGGCGCTCTTTGATTTTTCAAACATAGAAGAGAGAAATAGTTGTTAGAGCCTAATTCCTGCAGAATCTGTTTCAGATTTTCCCCACTTATATAAATCATTTTGTCTATTTAGATTCTGCTTGGTCTGAAAGATCTCCTGACTTTGAGGACACTTCACTGAAAATAATTCCTGAGTTTTGATTTGAGGCTTTATAAAATTTGAGGATTTAGAAATTCCAGAAGTTTTAAGGAGCAGCGCAATCAGGGTGGACTTTTTTAAGAAAACAAATTCCCTATGTATCTGCAGGGGCATGGCACTTTCCTCCCCTAGTCACTAATGCAAAGGAGCGGGAGGGCAGCAGTATTTCTTTTAATGTGCCTGAGAAATGAGAATAGGTAGGCGCTTTACTTTCACGAGTGACTGGCTCCAAATCCACCGAGTGAAGTCAGGAGCACCTCTTGTCCCTTCCAACATATAGGTCTACCTGAGACTTGCTCATACCCGCGTTTTCCAGAATCCTTCCAGCTTACAAGTTTTGGAAGGCTGTTATCATTGACCTTCTCTTCTCAGGGAGAAGACTGAAGTGCAGAGGTGGAATGATTTGTCCCACACACTGAGAGTGCAGGAGGCGTGAACATGAAGATGCTTGAGATTTTGTTTGAGTCTTTCATTATTCATAGGCCAAGTTTAACACCCGGAAGGGGCATCTCTCCTATTACACTAACGACCCTCCCAGGACTGTCTCCAAAGCACGCTCTGGGGCTTTTACTGGGGACCAAAACCTCTCAGAACTAGACAGCTACTTGGCAGGTTCCCCATTACAGTTCCACCCTCTCCTCTTCCCCCACAGTCCACCCCACGCTCACATGTACAAACGATGAGCTCATTTAATCACACCCTTTTCTGTCATCTTGCCCACTTTCTTAAAAATTTTCTGCTAAACACCCACATATCTGCTGGGGACCAACTTTTGCTTTACTGATATCATCTTTATGAAACAAAACAAAAAAAACCCCAAACCACCAGGTTGGGCCGCTAAATGGTGGCGCTTTGTTCTGCAGTACAGAGGGCTTCTGGTGATCGTTCCTCATTGGTGACACGAGGCAACATCGCTCCCCCTCTGCTAAAATGAGCTCCTTAGCAAGCAGAGGTAGCACACCACAGGTTCAGCTGGTGCCTCTCCCAGCCCAGCATATTAGCACGAAGAAAGGAGTACAGGAGCCTGGGAAGTGCATCCGTTGAGAAGTGGCTGCACCACCACTCCTTGCATCCAGGACGATGAGTTGGAGCAGGGGAGCAGGGC